TCACCCAATCTCCTACATAACGCTGCAGGCAGAGCACCTGTCACTGGTTCAAACTCTTCTTTTAGAAGTAGAGGGGAAACCACCTCATGGGAGAAGAGTGATTTGGACCAGATCTCCACAGACTTGAACTTAATGCCATCCCTTCCCTTTGCACCATGGTAAGACTTAGGACTGACAAGGGTCCTTCCTATCATGGCCTCCCGTTGTTTGTTCTTCATAGTTGGGGCAAGAGTTGGAAAGATAGGGGACCAAGATTGGGTTAAATAATGGTGACACGGACAGGAGTGCGACCTAACCTCCCCTTGAAACAGAGTAAGACTAGGCCTGTGAACCAAACTGACTCCATTTTCTCTGTAGAGGACACTTTATGACTTTTCTACTCCTCAGTTATGAGACCCGCAGGGCAAATGACTACTCCATAGGCTGCCCTGACAAAATAGACTGAGATGAGAGTAAACAGTTATTTACTGACTAGCAAAACCCCTCCCCAAGGCTTGTTTACCGTAATTGTAAAAGTTACAGATTAACCTTAAGACCCCTTTAGGAATTCCCACCTGTGCACAAAGCCTCAAGGTGACTGCTACAGTGACCCTCCTGGGGTGACAACGATGAACACCACTGCCATCTTGGGCCTACTGAGCATGCACCGATGACACAACCAGGAAGAACAGAACAAACCACCTCCAGTGATACTGGCCTGTACCCCCTCACTCCTTTCCCTATAAAAAACCCTGAACAGCTCCCCTTGGGGGGGCTAGCTTTACTGTTGCTACCCCCCTGATGCATAAGTCTATCTCCTCTTTTAATAAAGTGTTGCTTGCTTTATACTGCTTGGTACATTGTTCATTTCTATGGCTTTGTAATCCAAGAGCCTAATTTAGTCACTGGTGAAAACTGGAAAGCTTTGGGCACCAGAGAAGACTCTAGCTGCAAGAGGCAAGTGACCACTGGGACTATTTTGCTCCCATGTCTCTGCTGCTGGTAAGTCTCTCCTGGAATCCCCAGCCTAAATTCTGACAAGGCTTTATTCTCTTTTACTTTCCTTTTGTTCACTTTCTTCCTCTTTAAAGTGACTGATTGCCGGACAACTACTGCTTAAACTCCTCTCAACCTGTGAGAAGCATGTTACCTCTGGCTGGCAGCAGCTTGCCCTGATGGGTAACTAGCAGAGGTGGGAAGGCCAATCCTACACCGTGAAGATTTTGCTTGAGCTGTGTCTTGCTATGACAAGGGCTACTGTAAGGCTAATGTCTCGAATCCTGTTCACAGCACCAGTTTTGTCTAGCTCTTAATCCTGTTCGTGATGCCAATTGTAAAGCTAGGCGACCACGCTAGTTGTCATGGCTCTTTTCCCTGCCAGTAATCCTGCACCGACTGGGCCAATGGTTGAGCTAGGGCTGGGTCTGGAGCTCCCAGACCCCTCAAGCCCATTCACAGACTGGGTCACAAACCCTTCACATGCCAGGCTGGGTCCACAGACCCCTTCACGCAGGTCTCTAAGCTAGCTAACCAGCCACATGGTCCTTGGAAGCTGCAGGTCTGGAAAAATATGGCCGTGCAGGGCTGGCGCCCAAGGCAGTAAAACACCAGTCAAAGCAGCGCCGCCTTGCAGGCACACCTACTTCACCCAAACAATGTTTACGGAATCACCCTGAACCTGCTCCCAAGGTGAGGGGAGCCTGACCAAATTGTTCCATTTTCCCAACAAGCAGGTTCCCCCTGACAGGTGATTGGGGTGGGGATTCAGTCTCACGCATTGCAGTGACTAGAAGTCTGGAAGCCACTAAAATTCTCTTTACTTTTCTCTGATTTTCTGAGCCCTGTTCTGCTGTTCTGTATAGATGCACCCTGGAGGGCTCCTGGCTATGCTTTGTTTCTCTGATTTAAATCTAGTTGGTACTTTTCTGCTTTGTACTAACAACAGTGGGGATAACGGCTTTTATCAATTACTGTGTCAGAGGGATAGTTTGCCCCCCCCCCCCCCCACTAGGACAAACTAGACTCCACTGCTCCTCTTTTCTCTTTGCTTGGTTAGACATTTAGTTGAGCACCAGTAATCTGAATACACCTTCTAATCCTTGCACCAACTTTGGACTTTCAAGTCATTTGTTTAGTGCAAGAGGGCAAGCCGAGCCTGGTCTGTCTGTAGTGCATTCCCCTCCCCCAATGTATGAGACAGTAACTTCCTCTCTTCTAGGAAGGGCCAGATCAGGTTACCAGAATTATCTGAGTCTGAGGCCTAAAAGTCTCAGGAGATTTCTAATGTCCGCCTCTCCCAGTTGTGCTTCACAGGTTACTTTTAAGTGAAAATAAAAAAGTCTAATACCAAAGGGCTGGCCAGTTAGCTCACAGAGTGGTGATGATAACACCAAAGTCAAGAGTTTGATTCCCTGTACTGGCCAGTCGCAGAAGGAAAAAAAAGGTCTAACACCAATGTTAATTCAGCCAGTGTGTTTTTATTATGCACCTGTAAATCTGTGGGGATGATGCTGAGGGATCGGAGGAAGATGAAGGGAGGATGCTTCTCAGATGTGGGGTCTCAGTTTCCATGGCAAGGTGGAGACATAGCTCAACTGCTTGCCTGGCCCCTGTGAGGGGAAGGGGAGGCAAAGGGAGGGACAGAGTGGGTCAGCTCTTCTGGGATGAGGCCAAAAATATTGATGCCAAAAGGGAGACAAAGATAAATTGGGTCCAGTCCCCCACTCTCCATTGGGGTGGGGGGTGTTTGGTTCAAAGATTGGTGTACCTCTTCTCAGAGCAGGTAACCCCTACCTGCTTCTTCTGCATGGGGTGAACCTGGGATTTGAACTATATCATGTGGAGTGTACTAACATTTATAAAGCAAATGTATTTCACAGGGCCTAGCTCCCAAAGCCCTGTAGTTTCAGGTATAACCTAACTTTTTAAAATTACACATAGAAATGTTAAGCTTGCAAAAGACAGGAAACTTTCCCCAGGCAAAAGTCTCTGTTATAGATAAAGAATTATAACACAGCAAAATTGCTGGCTCCAAGGGCAGATATCCTTGGTGCAACTAAATCTAATGACTGTTGCCATGACAATGATCTTACTGTTCTTTTTGTAACCACCTATGTTCCTTTTCTGTAATTTTCTGGCCTAGAGAATAAATAATGAGAAGACCCCACCCAGTTCACTGATAATTTTCCAAGGAATGTCTCTCTCTTGAGGGTTTGTGGAAATTAACCCCTTCAGGGCTTCTCACTGCTCAGAAGAAATATGCTTACAATAATCCTTTTTGTGTCTGTGTCACCCTGGGAGAGAGGTGACATATCACCCAGGAGGGTCTCCAAATCCAGAGGCAATGTGACCTTGCAATTATTGAAACAACTTGGTCTGCTTTGGATCAGTGATGGGGATCCCTGACAATATTTGGTGGGGTCTCGGGGTCTCAAGAGATGCACAGCCTCTTTGTGGGGTCCAGTTCCATTAACTTCCCTTTGTCACTTTCTTATGATCTAATTTTACTTGTAAAATACACTGGTAAGTAAAGCAATGTTCCTCTTTTGGACAAATGTCTGAAGCAGAATGGTAAATAACCTCTCCAAGGCCATGGAGCTAATAGAACCCTCAGGCCAGGCCAGAGCACACGGGGGTTTTGGGTAGAAGTGCATAGAGATAGCCTGGCTTCTATTTGGAACTTTCCCCTTCCTTGGTTTTCAAGTTCCATTTTCCCTTTTCCAGGTAGATTAATAAAAGCAGCAAACTATTTAGAAATTAAGAACCCTAATAGTTTATTTCTTGTTCAAGGCATGACCAAATGGTTTTATGGTATGTACCTTTCCTGGGTATGTAGGTGCATCTACAAGGAAGCAGTAATTGTAGTTATAAAACCTCAAAACTCTTTTACTGGGTTTGGGGCAGGGAATCCTTGATGTGAAAGTTATATGAGTGACAAGGAGCAGAGAGTGCCCTGCATTCACCTAACCCAGGCTTACTGCCCCTGGGTGGGATCTGACATACAGATAATACAAAATACCCACTTAGTTCCTGACTTTCAGATTTAGCCAGAGGGACACTATAGGTGTAGTGCTTTCTCATTGCTGACCCTAGATGATATAACTAGTCTTCCAGGAACAGTAAGACCGTGTTTTTGATTGCTTGAGGTTTTACTACCAAAGGCCACTCACAGTCCAGAGCCCCAAGCTCCAGACTTTAAAGGTTATAGATTAAGATTCTTCCATGCAGAGCTCTGAAAGCAGTGGGCTCGAATCCTGCTTTCAATGGAATTGCGAACAAGGTAACTGAAGTTTGTACTGATTCACCTGTGAATCAGGAATGACAGCACCGAAGGATTATTTGGAGTTGTGCGTTGAATTGTATATCCCCCAAATTCCAGTGTTGAAGTCCTTACCCCTAGTACCTCAGAAAGTGACCTTATTTGGCAATAGTCACTGCAAATGTATATGAGGTTATACTGGGGTAGGTGGTGGGCCCTAATCCAATATGACTGGTGTCCTTACACAAAAGGGAAATTTGGAGACAGACACACACACGGTGAGAACACCATGTGAAGATGAAGGCAGAGATCAGGTAATGCTTCTACCAGCCAAGGAATGCCAACAATTGCTAGCAACCCCCCAGAAGCAAGGACAGAGGCATGGAGCAGATTCTCCCTCACATCCATCAGAAGGAACCAACCCTGCTGATCTCAAAACTTGTAGCCCCCAGAACTGCGAGAGAATATGTTTCTGTTGTTCCAAGCCACCCAGTGTTTGGTATTTTGTTATCATAGCCCTAGGAAACTAACACAACTGGCACTCTAAGTTAACATATATGTAGAGCATGACATCATGGAAGGTTCTGTTTGGGGCTTGGCTCACCCAGACAAAAGAACCCTTCACTGTGGGCTGAGCTCCATATTACTAGATGGAACACAGTGGGAGGAGGAATTTAAGTGCCTTTCAGATGATGACAACTAAACTTCCATCTTGCAAGCATTTACCAAGGACCTCTGTGGTTCAAAGAAAAGACATCTGGGAGCAGGAGTGCAACACAGTTTAAAATGTGATCTTTGCTCCTGATGAGCCTCCCATCCCTAATAACCAGCCCCCAGGACAAATCAAAAGGTATGATGAGTTTCCCAGTCTCAAGAAGGAGCTCTGGAACTCCCCGCCATGGACTCAAAGCCCCAAAGGGTTGCCCGATTAATGTCAGGGTCTGGGGGTGCTCCTGTGGCCTGATGGTGACCTGGGGCTGACTCTTGATGACACAGCATGACTCGGTGTGGTTGGCCCTGCTCCCCACTGTGCCCACCAGGCACTACTGCCATCCTCCCAACCCTGACAATAGCTTCTCACTGTCATATACGAAGCACAGCTATCCTGGAACCTCAGGGTCTGGAGTGTTCAGACAGAGCAGGATGGCAGGGAGTGGACTGAGGGTTGGTTGGTGACCAAGTGGTCACCACGATGGGAAGCAGCCCAGTCCCACTTAAGATACAGAAACACGGAGCTCATCAAAAGGGTGATGACATGCCATCCCTGTTTTTTTTTTTTTTTTCCTTTTAGCACAGCAGAAATTGAGCAAATCCTCAATTGGCCACTATCATCTCATTATTTGGGGGGTGAGAGGTGGAGAGGGGACTACCATCACACCACTGGAGAGCAAAGGGCGGGAGGAGGTATGCTCTCTATCCTGGGGAAAGTGGGTCTCCGGGGGACCGATCAGTACCAATGTGTGTGGGAAGCACCAGCTCGGGGTGGGGGTGGGGGGGCGCACCAGACGGGTGAACTCAGTAGGAGTTCAGAGCCTGCTTGGAACGTCGCTTCATGTGCAGACGCTCATGACGGAGAAGGTCGTAGTTCTGCGAGAAGCTTTTGACGCAGTACCGGCACTGAAAGGGCCGGGTCTTGTCCTTCAGGTGAATGAGGCGGCGGTGCCGGGCCAGGTTGTCACGCCGCTGGAACACCTTCCCACAGTCACAGCACTGGAAAGTCAGCTTGGCCTTGCTCTTTTCCATCAGGGCATTGGGACCCCCGCTTATGCTTGCCAACGTCCCCTGCTCTCTCTTCTTCACCGGCTCTAGTCTGTCTGGCTGCAGGTGTATCCTCCTGTGAGAGAGCAGGTGGGAGTTGAGGCGGAAGCTCTTCCCGCAAGCGCTGCACCTGTAGGGCTTCTGGGCCTCGTGGGTCTCCAGGTGCCCGTCCAGGTCCTCGCTGTCACTGAACAGCTCCCCGCACACCGAGCACTCGTGTGGCTTCTCCTGCTCCCTGCGGCTCCGTAGGTGCCGGATGAAGTTGACCCTCCAGCGGAAGATTTTCCCGCAGTTCGGACACACGTAGGACTTTTTGGAGGAGGTCTGCACCTCGCCTCCTGCCTCGGCGCTGCTCCGGTGGGAGACGGGGAGGCTGCGCTGCTTCTCCGTGGGGCTCCGCGGCTCCTCTGTGCAGTATGGGCCGTGCTGGGAGTCCTCGTCTCCGGAGCTAGACAAAACGATCTCGATGGTCACCTCTTCGTCAAGGCCGTTTTCTAGGGATGGCGGATCACCTCCTGCTACAAGAGACCAATGTGGAGGTCAGTGGTGCTGCCCAGGCTATATCCCAGTCCGTACAAACCCTTCTCAAGAAGGTTCAGCTTGGAATCCAGAAACCCATTTTTTCAATTCTCCTTTGTGACTAGGGTCCCTGGCTGACCTGCAGGGGCCATTGTTGTAGCCACTGAAAAGGAAATTTTTAGTATGGGCCATGCTTTGCCCAAAGCATCCTGGGCACCTCTTTCTTCCCCTTCCCTGCTATCTTCCCCTAACACATGCACATAAACAAACTAAGATGATCTGTCCAAGGGAGGAAGGTTGAAGCTCAGCAGTCCCAGACTGCCCAGGGTCACTGAGTGTCCCAGCATCTCCCCCTCTCAACGCTACCACATGTTTGAGGCCCATCAGCAGCAAAAGGCAGTGATGTTCCAGACTTTCTAACCTAGACTGAAGCTGGCTCAATGGATCCTGAGTCTGTGATGTTAGAAAGCAGTATCAGGCGGGCGGGTTCACTTGGTTAGAGCACAGCCTTATAATCCCAAGATCACGGGTTCAGATCCCTGCATTGGCCAGCCACACCCTCCCCCTGAAAAAAAGCAGTACTGTGGGGAGGGGGCGGGTGGGCAGTGTGGAGCTTGGCCAGAGGTCCTGGCCTGCAGCCCAGAGCCCATCACATGGGTGGCCTCTGTTTCCTCACTTTTACAAAACATGGAACTCAGGTCTAGGAAACAGGGTAGTGGCGCTAGGCTCCCCCAGATGTTAGTAGGAACATGGTTAGTCTTAGCTTAATGACTGGAGAGAGAAGGGTCCTGGCAGGTTAGAGAAGCTTAGAGCAGGCAGAGGTGGACAAACAGAAGCAGGAAGGGCAGGAAGACCCAGAAGCTACAGAGAACAGGAAAGATGACGGACAGCAGTGGAACCAGTGGGGGCATTTGTCCATGAGTCAGAAAACAAAGGTGGTGGGAGTCCAGGAGAATTTGAGACTGGGGGGTGGGGGAAGAGAAGGGAGCCTGCCAAGAGAACTCACGCAGTATAGGAGAGAGATCACCTAATGTGGACAAAGGCTGTGTCTGACACTCATCTTTCCTCTTGGTTTTCCAGCTGTAGGGGCCTTGTTCCAGCCGGATGGCTTCTGTTAGCCTGTGTTGCCTCATTTATAAGGTGAGCATGACTGTGGTGGCCCAACACTCCACACTGCCAGTGGGGCAAGTGAGGTGTGTGTGTGATGCACTTTGTGGGCCTCACAGGGTGGAGAGGTGGAGGGTGTTAACTAGCTTTTATCAGCTGTCAGTGATATGATACCTGGTCAACAATTTGCTTCTGTTCGCAGTTATTAGATTTGGGTAGAGGGAGAAAAAAAGTGCTATAGTGGATTGCTAAAATCTCTCTTTTGCTATTTGGGCGAGGAGATGGAATTATGACAGCAGACTAGTGCATGCTATAAACTGAAGTGTGCCCCTTGAAAATTAAAGTCCTAACTGCTAGTTCCTCAGAATGTGACTGTATTTGGAGAAAGGATCTTTCAAGACCTAACTAAGAAAAAGAAGAGGTAACTAATTTAAAATGAGGTTATATGGGTGGACTTCAATCCAGTATGACTAGTGTCCTCATAAGAAGTAATTTGGATGCAGATACATAGGAAAGACCATGTGAGGACACAGCAAGAAGATAGCCATCTATAAGGCGAGAGATCTCAGAAGAAACCAATCCTGCTGACACCCTGATCTCAAACCTGTAGCCTCCAGAATTGTGAGAAAATAAAATTTTGTTGTTAAAGCCACACAGCCTGTGGTACTTTGTTATCGTAGTACTAGTAGACTAATATGGACTTTGGCACCAGGAAGTGGGGTGCAGCTATAACAAATAACAAAAAATGTAGAAGTGATTTTGGAACTAGGTAGTGGGTAGAGGCTGGAACAGTTCTGAAGTGCATTTTAGAAAAAGTCTTGCAAAATGGTTGGTAGAGATTGGATATTAAAATTAAAGGTACTTCTGGTGAGGGCTCAGACAGAAATGAGAAATCTGTTACTGGAAACTGGAAGAAAGGTGATCCTTGTTATAATGTAGCAGAGAACCTGGCCAAACTGTGTTGTATTTTGTGGAAAGTAGAAATTATAAGTGGTGAATTTGAATATTTAGGTAAATAGATTTCTAAGCAAAGTATTGAAGGCATAGCTTAGTTTCTCCTTGATGCTTATGGTAAAATGTGAAAGACATGAGATAAATTGAAGAAGGAATCATTATACAAAAAGGAACCAGGACATCAAGATTTGGAAAATTCTCAGCCTACCCATATTGCAAAAAATAAGTACTCTGGACAGAACATCAAGGGTGTGGCTGGACAATCATTTGCTAAAGAGATTATGGGTGTGACTCATGGATCCAATTGACCATCTCAGGAGAAGCCAGGAATAGAGATGGGTTATCCAGGAAACATCTATTCAGAACACTCTAGTCAGATGACTTAGACTCCCGTGAATTGCATGGGAAGGCAAGGTTTTTGAGAATTTTATACCAGCAGAAATATTGCCAACGTGGACTGAAGGGGACAGAGATGGGATGAAATAAAGGAAGGCTACCAGATTTCTGGGATTCTACGGAAGGGCCCAATAGAGCTATCTGGCTGCAAATATGTATTATCCTTCAAGAAAAAGGATGAATGATACCAAAGGCAGTTCAGAGGTTTACTGTCACTGCCACCATGGGCCCAGAAGGCACAAACCTGGGAGATGGAGTCATCTCCTCCTAAGTTCCAAAGAGCAGGCCTGCCACCCTAGTGGGCCTGGAAGACAGAGAACTGAGCCAAAGATTATTCTTGAGCCTTAAAATCCAATGGAATTTGCCCTGCTAGGTTTTGGATTTGATGGGATTCATCACCCTTTCTTCTTTCAAATTTGTCCCTTTTGGAATGGGAATGTTTATGCTATGCCTTTCCCACAATCATATTTTAGAAGCAGGAAACGTTTCTGGTTTCACAAGTACAGAGCTGTAGAGTAATTTTGCTTCAGGATGAATTGTAACTCAAGTCTCACCCATAGCTGACTGAGATGAGATTTTGGACTTAGAATTGATGTTGGAATAGGTTGCATCTTTTGGGGCTGTTGGGATGGAATGAATATTTTGCGTGTGAGAAGAACATAAATTTTGGAAGTCCAGAGAACAGAGTATGAACTGGGTCCTCCCCAAAATTTACCTGTTGAGGTCCTAACCCAAGTATATCAGAATGTCACCGTATTTGTAGGTAGGGTCTTTCAAGAGGTAATTAAGTTAAAATGAGGCTATATGGGTGGGCCCAATCCAATATAGCTGGTGTCCTTATAAAAGATTAGGACCCTGACAAATAGAGGGAAGACCATGTGAGGACACAGCAAGAAGGTGGCCACCTACAAGTCAAGGAGAGAAGCCTCAGAAGAAACCAGATCTGCTGACACCTTGATCTCAGACTTGTACCCTTCAGAATTGTGAGAAAATAAAATTCTGTTGTTTAAGTCACCCAGCCTACAGTACTTTGTTATGGAAGCCCTAGCAGAGTCACAGCACATATGGGACATTACCTCAAATCAGCTAAAATGACCAAAATTAGATGCATAATTTCTAGAAAAAGGGAAATATATCAGTGATAGTGCTATTGTGTACTATTAACACAATATGACGACAACTTGAAGAGACAAAGTAGATGAGAAGAGAATGCTTGAAGTGTGCCCAAAATACCACAGAGGATGAGCAACACCCAGGAATTCTCAGCTCAGCACTGATAAGTACAAAAGATGTGTATGTCAAATATCCATTGGTGGGAGACTGATTGAAGAAATTAAGCAATAGAATACTAAGCAACTGAATAAATAAATAAATAAATGAGGGCTATCTTTATAAACTACTGTAGAGTGATCTCTAAGGTATATTGTTAAATGGAAACAGCAAGATGAAAAATGTGCAAAGAATGTTTCCATTTATCTAAGAAAGGGGGGATAAAAAGGGTATGGATATTTTATATTTAGTAAAACATAATAAAATCATAAGCCAAAAAATAAATTTAATGGTTACCTATAAGGGGATGGAGAAAGTGAGGTAGAGGGGACACCAAGTTAGAAGCTAATATATTAATAAATATATTAATACTTTCTTTTGTAGACTTGACTTTGGAACCATTAAATATCTTAGTTATAAAATAGTTTTCCTAAAAAAAAGCAAGTTCTGAAAATTGAAAATAAAACAAACGAATCTGTGTATCACCTAGAGGTGAACTATTGCAAGTGACTTTAGAGTGCAAAATTTGATTGTACCTCCCCAGTTGGGTCTACCTTAAGGACCAAAGGAAATGGGGGAAAATTTTTAAGTGTTTCTAATAATCATTATCATTGAAGATAATGTTGGCACTGTCATTCTGGGACTGCTGTGTATGTAATGTGGAATAAGCAAACGAGTGCTCACATTCTAAGTCCATCATCCCTAGTGTACTTAAGAATTGAAATTCTTGACATAGGAGAAAGGGGAAACAGATGTAAGACAGAGAGGTTAAGTATAAACTTTAGTCTGTGAAAAAAAAAAAAAGTGTGTATGTGTGTGTGTGTGTGGGGGGGAGTCCCCTGAATTGGCTGGCAGGATAATGTTAGGGAAGACAGGGAAGAGTTATTGGTCTAAGTGCTTTTACGTGTATTAGTCATTTAATCCTCAACAATAACTTTACAAGGCAGGTACCATTATCTCTGTTTTATAGATGGAAAATTTAAAGCAGAGAAATGAAGTTGCCCAAGGTTTTAGAATGGAGTCTAGTGGGGGTGGTGGTGGGAGTTCAGGGCCCATGGCTACATGGCCAGCAAGTGGCCAGGCTGCTGCTGCAAGTGTTCGCTGCGGGGTGGAGTGGGAGGAGTGGCAAAGGCACGCACTTAGGCCCGTGGCTAACTCCTCAAAATGGGCACTCTGTGGGCTGGGAATGAATGGTTCCCTATGAGCTGGAGGGGTTCAGGAAAAAAGCAGGAAGGATAGGAAGCTAGATGTGAAAAACCAAAATATAAAGGCAATATAAAAAATATAGAGAATATTCTCATAATATCAGGATGTAAAGGCTTTCTTAAGACATAAAAGCAAAAGGAAGATAAATAAGTATATTTACACTTAAAAAATGTGAAAAACCATTTATATGCTGTAAGACACATTGACAAAGTAAAAAAAATGAGAGAAACTGTGCAAATACATAAGAGACAATGGATTCATACCCATAATTCTCACTTTCTATGAATGCATACAAAAAAGCAGGGAGTAAAGAGTATGGATTTTAAGCCCAACAGTCTGAGTTCAGATCTTCACTGTGCTTCCCACAGTCTATGAGCATTAGACGCTGGGCAAGTGACTTCAGCTCCTGGGGACTTGGGTGCCCTAGTTGCAATGCAGAGACATCATGGTACACATCTCAGACGGTGCAGTGAGGGTATAATGCATGAAATCGCATAAACACTTTCCCCGGTGCAGTGCTTGAGACTTAAAGAGAACTAGCAAATTAGAGTGGGAAAATGCATAAAAGAAAAAGAGGACAAATGAGTATTATCTAGGCAATTCACAGCGAAAACACAATAAACCAGAAAAGATTTTCCACCTCAGTGGCAGACATGGTAACATTCTCATCCAGTTGACACAAACTGAACAGGCTGGGAGCATCCTGTGTGAGTATGGATATGGAGAAGCAGACCCCTTATCAGCTGTTAGGGGGCAGGGGCTGGCAGGAAAAGGCTTTTTGGAAAGCAAATTGGCAGGAGCTACCAAAATAAAAATGGTACCTACTCTTTGAAATCCATTTCTCTCCCTTCTCAGAGAGCAACCTTGGGCTTCTTGCCATTTCAGAGCAGATTCTATGTCAGAACCTAGTAAGTGGAGGACGGAGTTGAAAACTCCCTTGTGTTAATGAACATCCATCCACCTTCTGAAAGCACGTTGATGAGGCTGAGAGACATATAGCAGAGAAGACTCAAAATGCATCACAAAACTCAAGCCTGCATGCGAACTGAGAGTGGGCCCCACATGAATGCATCACCCACAGCATGTAGAGGCAGGCTCTTTAGAAAACCGTCAATGCTTGTGGGGAAGGGGTCTCATCTTTCCAGATATACCACTCTGTAAAATCTCCTTTGTCCACACACGATAGGGGGCAGAGCACAAATGTTTGTGTGCCCTGCATGGAGCTAGGTAAAAATAACACAAATCTTGCCTTCATATATAAAATAGATAATGTGTGTCCATCTCCATAGCTACAGAAAACTATAATGACTCAGTGGTTCAAGCAAGGATCACAGACTTGGTTTTAGTATTTAAAAGGATGTCTGAACTCTGAGGATATTAAAGAAGGTGACATTTTAGTTTTTGCCTCTGGAGGTGGTGACTTTTATCAAAATAAGTCAGAGTCTACATTGTGACTTTTCCCCTGAGGGCAGTAATGGAGCACATACCCTCCAGAAGTCTCTTGCAACTTTGGCATTCCAGAAATTTGCTTTTAATTCCAAGACTGTCCCAGGATTCTGGACATCCATGCTCTGGGAAGAAATATACTCACTACGTAGCCAACAGTCTTATACTAGCATCCTGTTTCACCCAACCCAGGAAAGGCAAGGAGGGAGAGTGTGGGACTGGGAGTTGCTTGGAGAGAGACCTTAGCAAAACAGAATCAGGGCAGGCAGCTGATAATGCCACACTAGCAGTCAGTGGGCATCCCAAAGTTTAATTCCTAACTGCACCCCCCCCGCACCACACATGAGTGTGCACATACACAAAAACACCACCTATGTGCACACAGCATGCATGTGCACACATGGGCACTCACCACAATCAGACACATCCCACCATACATGTACACATACACACAAACATGACACACACACACACACGAGACAATCCTCCCCCACCACACGCACTTTACCTGGGCAGGTGCTTTGAGTGAACGCTGTCTGTTGGCAGGCCTGGAACTCTGGCACCTGCAACTTGTCCCTTTTCTTTCTTTCTTCCACCTGGAATGGCTGGAGACTTGGAGAGTCTTTCCAGAGAAGAAAATGAAAAAGTTGATTTATCTATGTGGGGAAGATATCTGAATAGATGCCATGCTGTGATCTGAGGGCAGCCCTGGGCTTCCTCCTGGGGCCTGGCATATGGTGGTCACTCAGTAAGTGTTTGCTGAGACAATGGACTTGAAAGCAAAATAGGCCAACACCACAGACACTGGTTCTGCAGCTAGAATTACTGTAGATCCTGGTTTTGCCCTATCTCTGTGGCCAGCAACAAGTAACTGCCCCATCTCTGTAGTCATTTCCACTTTCTGTTGTGGATTTTCTACAGACCCTACCAGAAGGTCTGGCATAACCTGGAGACACTCTACAAACAGCCTGTGCAGATCCTATGGGGCAGAGATGGGACAGGAGCTACTGCACCATGCCAGAGGCTCTGGATGCTTGTTCTAGGCAGGGAAGGTGGACCAAATCCTGGTGCTCCGTGCCAGCTCTAGATACCAAAGGGGAAGGAGGTGTGGGGCTGCTGCTGATTTTGTACAAAGCCATTTCCCCTAAAGCAGCAGACTCTTCAAAGCACCATAGCACAAAGGCTACAAACACGAGCTCTGGTGACACAGAAATCTCGAGGTGAGTCTGGAAACTGCTGCTGCTGAGCCCCAGCACGTCCCCATGCCTCAGTATCCTCACAGCACCCCTGTATGAGGGTGGATGAGAGGACTAAATAGGTGAAGCATCTGCAGGTGCTTAGTGCCCAGTCAGGAGGAGACACTCCCTACCCAAACTGACTTGTTGTGAGTATCTGACCTCACTCTTGGGGAGGCCCCTAGATCACCAGCACAAATGCGGTGGTCCTTATGAGCAGAAGAGAAAGAAATTCCTATTATTTCCTAGTCCCTGGTAGAAGGAGCACAATCCCATTCTTTCTGTGAGAATTCAGGGACAAGGCAAGACCTGCAATACCAAGACACAGTCTGAGGGGTAGGGGACAATGGGGGCTGTAGAGAGAAGCCAGGGAATGGGCCACCTCTGGCCAGCAGCAATCTTTCACCTCACTTTGCCTACCCAGTTCTGGAATCACCACTCACCCATATAAGAGACCTGGGGTGCTTCTTTCTCCTGGAGTTCCTGCAGCTCAGGAACTCGTGGCTCATTCTCCTCTCCCTGGGAGAGATCTGGCTGGGCATCTGGGTCGTCTGTTCACAGAAAAGGGCAAGATACATGTTTCTCAGTGATCTGCTCCGGCAGGCAGCCAGGGTGGGCCAAGTGAAGTAACTCCCTATCAGGCCCAGAAGAGAGAAGGCGGAGGGACACCAACGGGCCACAGCACAATCAGGGGCCATGCAGGGCTGCAGAGAAGTGAAAAGGTAGAAGCAAGCAGGGAAGGGGCAGTGGGAGAAGCACACTAATGGATGAACTGTGGGCTTGGGGTATCTCTCAGAGGCCTATCAGCTGTAAAGCCAGAAGTGAATGGAGACGATAGGGTAAGAACAATGGAAGAAAAATGGATATGCAGAAAACATATTATATTTGGTTTCGTGTGACAAACAGCCAGGTAAGCCAGATCTACATGTGGGAAGATGGCAGGCAATGGTCAATTTCCTGTGGGGCCACTGTGCACAGATGAGCTCCTGTTGAAGTTGGGGGATGAAGAGTTGTGATATGGCCTCCAGTTCTCTGATCTAATGGGAGGAGGTTGGCTCTTACTTGGAGTGAGACCCCCACCCCCACGACCACCCTGATTTCTGGTCTTGGGTTGGGAGTTGGTGGGGAGTTAAGTCTTACTTGGAGGCATCGAGACCCCATAGTCCTCCCCAATGATGAACTCTCCATAAAAGCCAGTCTGGGCAGGGTCTAGAAGGGACCAGTCCTCTTCAGAGAAGCATAAGATCATGTCCTTGAATGGAGAAACCCGGCTCTGAAACCACAGTACAACAGGGATACCTCAGTCCAGGGAAAAGCCAGGTGTCTTTGTCCATTCAGACTGCTATAACAAAATACCATAGACTGGTGGCTTATTAATATGGTTTGAATGTGTGTGCCCCCACCAAAACTCATATTTAAATCTGATCCCCAATGTGGCAGTGTTGGGAGGTAGAATCTTTAAGAGCTGGGCCTAGCACCAGGTGTTTGGGTCATGAGGGTGGATCCCTCACGAACAGATAAATGCCCTCCATAGGGGAGTGGGATGTATGTGAGTGAGTTCTCACTCTATTAGTTCCTGTGACAGCTGGTTGTTAAAAAGAGCCTGTCACCTCCACAGCCCCCCTCTTTCTGGTATCCTCTCGCCACGTGATCTCCTTGCACACACTAGCTGCCCTTCCACTTTCTGCTATGATTGGAAGCAGCTTGAAGCCTGTAACAAATGCAGCTGTCCCAGAATCAGGAGCCAATAAACTTTTTTTGTTTATAAATTACTCAGTTATGAGTATTCTGTTATAGCAACACAAAAACAGACTAATATAAGCAACAAAAATTTATTTCTCACAGTTCTGGAAGTTGGAATTCCAAGATCAAGGCACTGGCAGATTGGGTGTCTGGTGAGGGCCTGCTTCTTGGTTCAAAGACTGCTGCTGTCTTTTCATTGTTTCCTCACATGATGGAAGGGGCAAGGGAGCCCTCTGGAGTCTCTTTTATAAGGGCACTAATCCCATCACGAGGGCTCTTCCCTCATTACATTATTACCTTACAAAGACCCCTCCTCCAAATACCATCAGATAGGATTTCAATATATGAATTTTGGGGAGATACAAATATTCAGACCATAGCATTGCCTCTCACCCATTCATATTCTTGTATGCAAAACACATTCATTCCACCCCAATAATCCCAAAAGTCTTAACTCATTCTGGCATTAACTCAAAAGTACAAAGTCCAACATCATGTCTAAATATCATCTAAATCAGATATGGGTTCGACTCAAGGTACGATTTTACCTGAGACAAACTGCTGTCCAACCGTGAACTTGTGAAATCAATCATGCTCCCAAAATACAATGGTGAGGCAGGCATAAAATAGATATTCCCATTCCAAAAGGGAGAAATAGGAAAAAAGAAAAGGAATAACAGGTCCCAAGCAAGTCCAAAACTCACAGGGCAAACAACATTAAACCCTAAGGTTCCAGAATAATCCTCTTTGACTTGATGCCAGGCCCACTGTGGTGGAAGTCTCAACCTTCTGGACCCACTGGTCCCGCATCTCTGCCAGGCAGGAGTTGGGCCCTACCCTCTAGATGGTTTTCTGTGGTGGCCTCGCCTCTGTGCCTCTTTCAGAGGTTTAAGGCTCCCTCAGGCTGAAATCATGCTGGTGGCTCTACCAGTCTGAGGTTACAGGGGTGGCCTAAAGGGGACTCTCTAGTGTGGGCCTCTGATGGTCAAAAGAACCCTGATGATTTCCGAAATGCCTTTGGAGTCATTTTTCCATTGTATTGGACAATAGCTCTTAGCCCCACTTTAGATCTCCTAATCAGATGGTCATTTGGCCACATGCTTTATTTTCTCCTCTAAAACAGCCTTTCTCATTCTTTTCAATATAGATAGGCTGAGAATGTTCCAAATCTTTAAGTTTTGTTTCCCTTTTCAGTAACAATTCTGTCTTTAAATCATTTCCCTCTTCTCACATTTTACTATAAGCGGTCAAGAGAAGCCAAGCCACAGCTTCAAAACCTTGCTTAGATATTTCCTCAGCCAAATATCCAATTCTATTGCTCTCAAATTCTACCTTCCACTAAACACTAGGACACAGACACAATTTAACCAAGTTCTTTGTCATTTTATAACAAAGATGCCTTTCCTCCAGTGTCCAATAACATGTTTCTCATTTCTGCTTCAGACCTCATCAGAATAGCCTTCACTGTCCATATTTCTACTAACATTCTGTCCACAACCACTTAGATATTCTCTACGAAGATTGAGGGTTTCTCTATAGCTCTCCTCTTTTCTTTCGGAGCCCTCACCAGAATCATTAACAGTCTGTTCATGGTAGTTTAGGCTTTTTCTAGGATGCACTTCAAAACTCTTCCAGCTTCTACCCATTAATCAGTTCTTTTTTTTTTTTTCTTTTAAAAGATGACCGGTAAGGGGATCTCAACCCTTGACTTGGTGTTGTCAGCACCACGCTCACCCAGTGAGCCAACCGGCCATCCCTATATGGGATCCGAACCCGCGGCCTTGGTGTTATCAGCACCGCACTCTCCCGAGTGAGCCATGGGCCGGCCCCCATTAATCAATTCTAAAGCTGCTTCCACATTTGTAGGATTTGTTACAGCAGCAACCCTACTTCTTGGTACCAATTTTCTGTCTTAGTCCATTTGGGCTGCTTTAACAAAATACCATAGACTGGGTAGCTTATAAAGAAAAGAAATGTATTTCTCACAGTTCTGGAGGCTGGAAGTCCATGCTCAGGGCACAGCATGATTGGGTTCTGGTGAGGGCCACTTCCTTGTTCATGGATGGCTGTGATTTCATTGTGTTTTTACATATCTCTCTTTGGCTTCTTTTATAAGGATACTAATCCCTTTCATGAGGTCTCTGCTCAAATGATCTAATCACTTACCCAAAGCCACACCTCTTAATACCATCACCTTCACGGTTAGGATTTCAGCATGAATTTTTTAGGAACACAAACATTCAGAACATAGCACTAGAAAAGGGGTGATGCAAGCTGGGGCTGAGGGTAGAGCCTCCAGCAACATGCACAGATAGGAGACAGAGAAAGGAAACAGATCACCCCAGAGCCAGGCTCCAGGTTCCAAGCTGCTTCACTAATTCTACCCTGAGATCCACCTAATTTATTTGGCAGAATACAAATGGTGAATAACCTGCCAGGTAGCCAAGGATGTGGAGAAACAGTCTTCCTACTCAGTGCTGGGGAAGCTGTACACCCACAACTTCTATAGTGGGTTACTGGGGAATGTTCACTAAATTATCAGTGTGCTCTCCCTTTAATGCTGAGATTCCATTTCTAAAATTTATTTTGCACATGTGCAATGTGAGGGAGGTCTGTATAAATCCCTTCACTGCAGCACTGATGATAGTAGTTAAAGATTGAAAACAACCTTTAAACCCATTAACATCCTAGAAGATATGCAATGTTTGTAGACATTTTTGTTTGTCAAAAATGGGGATGGGTGCTACTGGCATCTAGTGGGTAGAGGCCAGGGATGCTGCTTAACACCATACAAGGCATAGAACAGCCCCATACAACAAAGAATGATCTGGCCAAAATGTTAATAGCACCATGGTCAAGAAACTACTCTACAACACCTGAGAAATTTAACATTGGTTCAATAATATCATCTAACATCTTCTATTTTTTTTTTTTTTTTTTTTTGGGTGGCTGGCCTGTACAGGGATTGAACCTTGAACCTTGGTCTTATTAGCACCATGTTCTAACCAATTAAGCTAACTGGCCTAATGTCTTCTAAATTATGAATTTTTTTTTTTTAACAAGAAAAAAAGCCATCTGAATTATGAATTTTTTTATGAGAAAAAAAAATGAGGAGTTCCCCCAGGTGACTGTGATAAGGAGTCAGGATTAGAAATTGCTCAGTTAGCACTTTCCAATGGACTCCTACAAATTTTGCTAAATGTAAATTGTGCTTTTAAATGTCAACCATTAGGGCTGGCCTGTGGCTCACTTGGGAGAGTGTGGTGCTGATAACACCAGGGCCATGGGTTCGGATCCCTACATAGGGATGGCTGGTTAGCTCACTTGGGAGAGCGTGGTGCTGACAACACCAAGTCAAGGGTTAAGATCCCCTTACTGGTCATCTTCATAATAAACAAACAAACAAACCCTACACCCACCTCACACCATATACAAAAAACAATTTGAAATGAATCAAAGATCTAACTGTGGAACCTACAATTATAAAATCTCCTGAAGACATAAACACAGAAGAAAAATCTTTGTGGCCTTAGGGTAAACAAAGATTTGTTAGGACACGAAAAGCATAAAACCACAAAAAATTGATAAATTGGACTTCATCAAAGTAAAAGATGTCTAATCTTCAAAAAACAACATTAAAACAATGAAAAGGCACATCATAGGCTGGTAGAAAATATTATCAATTCATATGTCTGACAACAGACTTTTATACAGAATTTGTGTGTGTGTGTGTGTGTGTGTGTGTAACATTTCTTAAAACACAAGAAGATGGCAAGCAACCCAATATATAAATAGGGAAAAGATTTGAAAACTTCCAAACATAAGATGTATAAACAGCCCATGAGCACATGAAAAGATGCTTAGCTTCATTAATCAACAGGAAAATGCAAATTACAACCACAATAAGATATCTACTTTAATGGCCAAACTTAAAAAAAAAAAGACAACACCAAGAGTTGGTAAAGACGTGGAGCAATTGGACCTCTAATTCACTGTGGGTAGTGGTAAACCACTACAGAAAATAGTTGTTTCACATATATTTAACCTATGACTATTTCACTCCTAGGTAATTACCCAAGAGAAATGAAAACTACGTTTACAAAAAACTTGAATGCAAATGTTTATAAAAGCTTCATTCATGCCAGCCCAAAATGGAAGTGACCCAAATACTCACCAACAGGGAACTGGATAAACCAATTATGATACAGTTGTATAATGGAATAGTACTCAGCAATAAAAAGGAATGACCTACTGATATGCGCAACATGAATGACAAATCACTGGACTGTGTATGAGAAGACTGACACAAAAGACCCTGTACTGTATGATTCCATTCATATAAAATTCTACAACAAGAAAAGCTAATCTGTAGTGACAAGGAGATACCAGTAATTGTGTGGGCCTAGAGGCATGGCTTTACTGCAAAAGGATACATGGGAACTTTTGGGGTGATGAAGATGTCCCATATCTTGATTGGGGTGATGATTTCATGGCTGGATACACTTGTCAAAAACTCTCTAAGCTTTGTAC